TATCATGTTATTATATGATGTCATATTCTAAGATCGAATTTTTGTTTTTAAAAAAGTTGTGATTTACTTTGATTTAAGAACATACATTCAATAAATTTACTTATTTGCCAGAATTGGTCGATTGAATTATTACCATTTTTTAATTATCATCTGGTGACTTCATAGTTTTATATCAATTAAAATGAGATTAATGCAACATAAAACCGATCTTGTTTAAAATTAATAGTTAAAAGAGAAACAACGTCCCATCGCTATGACGTTTCGTCAACGACGATGAGTCTATTAATTTTAAATAAGATCGGTTTTATGTTGCATTAATCTCATTTTAATTGATGGAATTCTCACTTGATAAGAACCACAACCAAATGGTCGAAACGTCGTGAAAGTATTGAATAAAATTGCTAGTTACGTCGAAATCAATTTTGCCAAGTTTATTTTCACCACTAGCGTCTAATATTAATTTTTATTGATTTAAAGAAAGTTATTAAACGTTTTGTTAGGCTGACGATCATTTCAACATTGGTGACAAAATTCAATTTAACTAGAAATTCCTATCCGGAAGAAAATAACGGATCAAAGGTCTCTAACAAAATTTTAATTAATATTTTTAAATTTTATAAAACTTTGCAAATTTCCAGTAATAACAAAGGTTTGAGAGAAATACCATGACGATATATTTATGATTATCCAGATTCTTATCTTTCATGAAAGATCTCTCTTTTATTAAATCATTTCATTTTAATTATTAGCTTAATTTTCCTTATTTACTTAATCGGAGAATCTTTATCTTCTAAATAATTCATTTTTAATTTATTTTTTTTAAACTCATTAGAATAAAGACCTTATCCCCCTATTAATTGTAGATACAATGCAATTCCTGCTATTTAAATCTTTTATGAAATAAAATTTATAAATTTTAATTAAATTCATTTTCTATTCCAATTATTTTTCAATTATTTAATATGGCAGAAATTAGTGCATTGGATTGAAAATAAATTTTTTTTCTTTTATTTATTAAAATCAATATACTTAAACTTTATCGCTTCAAAATTCTAATTTTTCGATACTACAATTCAATCTAAGAATCGATACTCGACTTAAATTAAACTCTCTCTCTCTCTCTCTGATCCTCGAATCAAGGACGAGCATGTTCTCTTAGACTAGCGGTCAGTTCTAATCTTCTCCGCGCTTTCCCTTCTCAGGAAATTCTATTATATTCCTGGCCAAAGGAGCGCGCGCGCTTTAATGCACCTCCGTTGCATTTCGCGAAACCGAATACACCGTCGTCGTCCCGTGTCCTGTCGCGCGTCCTGTCCTATCCTCTCGCCATCCTTCCGCCGTCCGACCTTCGCCGGCGCGATATGTTGACGGAAACGGAAGGCAGAGAAGCTCTCTCGCGCGAAAATACGCAACGTGGAGATACCTAGAAGCCAACCCCCACTTCTACCCCCTCCCCTCGCGGTCATGCTTTCGTAATTAATCGGGCGCGATGTTTAACTTTAGGCTTTTAGCGCGGTTTAATATTTCAGACCGCGCGTTTTCGCAACGCCGGCGGTTTCGAGTCCGTAGTAGCAGAGAGAAATGCGTCGCAATTTTTGTGTCCGCTGTCCGGAAAAAAGAGAGAGAAAAAATATATATGAGAAACGTAAAACGCCCGCAACGTTATCTCTCTCGCGCGCGCGTTATTAATGAGATAATCGACATAAAAATATATCGGTTCGAATGACGATATTTTTTTCACATTCCACGCTCGATTCAACTCGCATATACAGTAGACTTCGTTATTAATCTTAATCTCTCCCTCCCGTTGTCACGAATCTTAAATACAAGTCTTTGTGAGACCGCAAAATCTTCGTACAAAGTTACCTTGGCTAAAGTTCGTCAGGATTGTTATTTCAGTATTTCATTTTGCGTATTACGTCGTACGGAAAATTGTAAGAAGATTAATTAATATTCTAAATTATTTCACTTTTGTGTGCGTAACTACAAGAGAGATTAAAAATTAAATGAATTCAAAGGAGATCTCAAGATTATCATTTACCCTCTTCTCTCTTAACCCTTCTCCCTTTATATATATATATATATATATTTTTTTTTTTCATTGCCGACATTGTTTTCTTCAATTCCACGCTAGAGAAATTATTCCCTCATCCTCTGGTTATACACCGCGTGCAACTGTTCAACTCGCGAAACAAGAAAAATTGTCGATAATGCATCCTAAGATTACCGTCGAGCGTGTGCCGGAAAAATTCACGAGACCAGACACTCTCGCCGCGCAGATAGGACGAATTATACTCGTATCACGGCGCGGCTGGGCCGCTGGCAGGCGTAATTCAGCACTCGAGTGGACAGTCTCGTTGCATCAATTACGGATATCCATTAGCCTAATTAAGCCTCGCGACACGCGCGAAACTGCACCGCTCTCGAAACTCATCCTGATGGGACAGACAAAATGAGAAAGGACGTTGAGAAATAAATTAATAGAAAAAAACATGAATTTTAAAATCAAGCGAGGGAAAAAAGCTTACGATAAAACGCTACATTGAAAAAATAAAATAATTAAAAAAAAATAAATAAATAAAATAAAAATTGTAGCCTGCCGCAGACAGGTTCGAGAGGGTGTAAACGACGAGAAGAAAGGCAGGACGAAGGAAATCGACGTAGACACTGGGAGAGGAGTGGCAAAATATACTTTACCGAAAGTTTCGGTGAAGGAGAAGTACAAGCCTCCGCCGCCTTATGGGAAATTACACGATGAGCTCGGCGGATTACCGTAACCTTCCCAAGTAACTCGCCCCCTACCCTCTCCCACCACCCTTCTTCTCGTTGATCCCCTTTTCCACTTTGTCGAGTCATTCTCGAACCCCGTCTCATTCCAGGAAGACTGCAGATTTTCCTTTAACACACGCCGCGATTTTACCTTGAGCGTATCTTAAAAATATCGACATACCGTCAGAAAAGGCGTAGCGAACGATGATAAATTTAAGGATCAAGCACGAGAGACGGTTCTCCAAAGGTGTCCGAATTTTAACGAAGATTAGCTCAATTATATATGTATATCGATGGCCGCGCATTTTATCTCGATAATTTTGTAATACACTAATTTTTCACAATTCTGTGTATTGTGTGTGTGTGTTCAATTTTCTATTAAATATCTGAAAAACATAAAAAATTGTTTGTTTTGAAGCAGTCAACTTGAAATTAAGTCTCAAGAATATGCGATTTCGTTTTCTATTCTTTGAAATTCAATCGTTTGTGACTATAAAACATCAATATCTTAAGAATGGAATAAGCAATATTCGTCTCAAATTTAGTTTCGCTTCTAACTTTCGTAGCTTTGAGAGATATATCCTATCTCTCTTTCTCTCTGAGATGTATGTATATCTTTGTGAATCATGGTCGTTAGAATGTAATGGTGCATTGGAACGCAACTAGAAACATATGCATAATGCATATAATAATGAATATGCTCAACGTCGGAAAATTCAGTAAGACTGAAAGAGAGGGAAAGAAAGAGAGAAATTTTAAATTGGATTGAGAACATGCTAATGAATTTCGCAAATTATCGCCTCTCGGGTGAGTTTGTACTGACGTATGCTAACACTTTCCGTTTTATATCGAAACACCTAACCAATTAATAATTGCGCTTAATAAATGCCGTGGATGTTTTTCTCGTGAAAGCATCAAACAATTTATGAAAATCTCTCTTAAAATGCAACGAGTTTCAAACACGTTGTATAGATCAAAATAAAGAACACATCTTTTATTCATATGCGTATCAAGGCATAATAAAAATTCTGGAATTTTCGAAAATTTTTCTAAAGAAAAATGGATTTCATATTATAAAAAAAAACCTCCGTATAAGACTTAAAAATATTTTATATGTGCTTTAATTTCAAATGTAAAGAAATAAAATGTCTAATATTTAAAAATATGTAAAAAAAATACGCGTTCTTGTTATTTTGAACTATTTTACAATAGGTATATATTTGAGTTTTATATCGAAATGAAAATTTGCTTGTAACATGTAGTACGTGAGAAAAGCTTTACTAACATTTTAATCACTGTATTCGAAAACGCGTAGGTACACAAGTTTTTTCTTTTCCCTTAAGCTGATTAATATTCGGACCCATGTATTGGAGTAGTGTCGAGAGGAAGTTTTCGCGGCAAAGTGACACGTTCGAGACGGCGAATTAATTAGTCGGCGAACGAACTGATGAAGCCATTAATTACACCGGTTCGAGCAGTCTCCCTTGTCTCGCGGACCACCTTGTAAGCGGTGGTCGAAACCGAAATTCCCGAACGCGATAAAATGGCGAGTACGAACGCTCGGGTGAACTCGGGGATGTCACTGGGACGAAACTTGGACGAAACCAGACAATGGTACTCCATTAAGAGCGCTTTCATCTTTGGGAAACGAAGTCGGTCGAGTAGCTTGACGATCCTCGATACTTAACCTCGGCCATTTCTACGTTCTCGCTCTCTGTCACGACACGCCGAGCTGATAGGTCGTGATTTTAAACTCGACTCCGATTTTTAAGCTCGCTTCTTACACGGAGAGAAAGGACACCGCGGAAGGTAATCACGGAGAGAGGTTTTCGAACGCATCGGACAACAAGAGTTGCTGCTTACGAGGTGCTTAGCAGAACAGAACGATATTTCTCGTGAAAAAGTGAAATAATTTTCGTAACAGAAACGTCGACAACGTAGCTTTTAAATTACGAGAGATATAAAAAAAACCCAGATTCTCGTTTTTTTATCTTAAACTTGAATCTTTAAATATTTGATGTTAAAAACTTTAAAGATTGCATAAGCAAATTAACATTCAATAAAATTTAATAAAAGTAAAATTATTTAATGTTTGTCGAGAATTATCGCTTTATACATATATATATGATGTTATGCCATTAACAAAAATAATTTCATATTTTAAAACTGCGCGTTTTAAGACTAATGGACATATATTAATTATACAAATATAATAATAAATGTCAACTCACCGAACGTGCTCTGGAAATGTCGAAATTCCGCTTGGATTGCTTCGCAATGACTCGGTGACGCTGGAAAAAATACCAAAGTCCATATTAATCTCAAAAATGTTGGCAAAAATGTTTGAATTATCGTAGACAAGAGAAAAAGAGAGAAGCACGGAGTAACGCATTAAAATGTAAAATTATAGATTCATGCTTTCAGCGACAAATTGAAATATTTCCAACATAACAATGGTATATGCATATTACGTATTAAACACGCGACAATAAATATTACACGCTACATTTGCGTTGTACATTAAAAATGTTAATCATTACGAAAGATAAAATATTTATCGGTCAAACTACTATCATTTATATGCATGTATCTGCCAATTAATCAATCATCGTATGAGGTTTGTTTCAACACCCTCGGACTCTCTCTAACGATATGCCAGAATTACAACGGCAGTAAGAGAATAATAGAATGTTTATCTAATACCAAGAATGAGAGAATAATAATGTCAGTCTACAGTACAAATGTACAATCAGATATTATGACTGCATACTTATTCAAGCGTACACTTACACGTTGTTGAAAGCGCGCTATTGTTGCGTGCGTATACACGCAAAATACTGGACAGGAAACGGACACGTTCTAAAACCGTATCGTGAAAAGGCGGACCATCGTTCGCCTCGGTCAACGCGAGGGTATAATTTTGCGGCGCGATCACCTATCACCGCATTATGATACATTATTCGACGACTTGGAAAAAAATACCAAAGGGAGAACCGTAACCGTAACTGGCGAGCCGGACTGACTTGGTCACGAGGCGAGTTTCTCGCTGGCAAAATCCGAACGAAATCGCACGATGATCCTCCATTAAGCGCGGCCCCGTCCTGCATCTTTGCTTCGCGGATCCACTCGAGGATCTCGACGACTCTCGATGCAGGAACCTAAACCAAGCGCGATCGTATACCTGGTCGCTCGTTGCAGAGCAATGGCAAAGAAATCAAGCGAGCAAGAGGATAGATAGAGAGAGAGAGAGAGAGAGAGAGAGAGAGAGAGAGAGAGAGACGAAAGAAATTGCAGGAAGAAGAGGATGGTAAGGAAAGGTGCAGGAACGTTACGTAGATACTTCCAATTCGATCTGCGGTCTAAGCCTTTAATGCCTGCTTATTCGCTCGCCTGGAAGAGGATCCCGAAGAGGTATCTAAACTTTCCGAATGCTTCCCCAGAAGAGAGCTAAACGCTGAACGATTTTGCTGCCAGTACTCGAACACTTCTTCTCTTCACTTATTAAGTCGTGGCAATGATTATCGATCGTTGAGCAAATTGCGTCACGACGCTAGATATGTGACGTCAATGAACTATTCGATAAACTGTTTCGATAAAAATAAAACTGAAGAATCTTAATCTTGAAAAATGATTTGCATAAGAAATCGTAATTATATTTTACAATTTGAATTTTTTTCAATTTCAAAGCAAGTAATTTCCGCTGAATTGTGATTTGAGGTTTTTCTAATCCATTTTGTACGTCAATAACTAATACTCACGTATGACACACATTAATGAAACGTTTGACGATATCGACATTTGATATATCCAACATTCACGTGTGTGTTCTCATAGAATGTATATATGCTCGTTATACAAATAGGATGAAACAGTTTCGACATTTGACTTGCACCACTTTTAAATAAACCATATGGCGCATTTATTTCGAACTCCCTAAATAAATTTGCGAATCTGAATGAATTTGAAATTGAAACATTAAATGTGAAAAAATGAAATAAAAAACGTGACACATTTGTGCCACATTTATATACCTTCGCTATTTTAATTATATTTGCGAGATGTATATAAGGGGGGAAAATAAATAAATTCGTATCACGATTCTTGCGTGTTAATAGTGGAAAATGATTCACTAGGTAACACTCAACATTTTAACGGGAATTTGGAACGTTTCGTTGCAATTCTTCAAGCAGTCGGAAATAATTTTTGCCCGGATATCTCCATCGGCAATGTAGTAAAATTGCGGAGCCCATCCACTACGCAAAGAGGAAGAAAGAAATAGAGAGAGAGAGAGAGAGAAAAATGAGAATGAGAAACGAGTCCAAAGAGATCGCGGGCATTACAACGTGTATTCCGACATCGACTCGACTTTCCGCCGGAAAGAAAAAAGATGCGGGCGAGCTCGAAAAAGGGAGGCAAAGCGAGCGAGCTTTATATCCCCTGGATATCGGCGATTGTGTTTTTTGTCAAGGATCGAAAGTGCCTCGTCTACCCACACCGGCGCGCTTTGACGTTTAACCGGACGCTTATCGATTGCGGAATTTATTTCTTTTCGTATCTCTCCAGTCTCCGCCACCATTGTCCGCGCTCTCGTTCTCTCTATCTATCTATCTCTCCGTCTCTATCTGGTCGTCCTCCCTTCTGCATCCCCAATGCCGCTCTCTTTATCCCGAATCACCGGCCAGGCAGACCGGTCTCTCATTCCCATTTTGTTTCCGTTCCCCGACGGCTGTACAGATAGGTGAGATTAAGCCCCGCGATGGCGCGGCTGCGGTTATCAGGAGATTGCATTTTAGCATAATGGCTACGAGAGGCCGCATTGTAGCTCTGTTTTGAGGGACGCGTTGTGATGTCGTTGCGCCGTGATGGGTGTCGGAACATTTATCATGGGGCCAGGTAGGTATTTTTGCTTCCTCCTCTCTCTTTCTCTCTTCCTCCCATTCGTCCTCTCGTTCATTCTCGCGGATATCGGCGCGTACGAGAAACTACTCGTATAAAGTGTACGTTATTGCAAGAAAGAATGTATTGTAATGAATAAAATTCATTCTCGTATCATTTATTTCTGATGATCGTTTTCAATTTCTCTCCTCGCACATTTTATGTAACTGAAATTGGCAAAAACAATTCGACAAATTGACAATTTACGAGGCACAAATTAAATATATATGTATACGTATATGTAATATTAAATATTTTCGTTGCGTATACCGTAATTATCGAGCAGAGACTCGACCACACCACCGAAAGAGTAATTGGGGCAACGCGCTCTCTCTCTCTCTCTCTCTCTCTCGTCTTTTCTCTCTCTTCCCGTCGTTTGCTTGTACAGCTAATATTATAAGGCGGGCGCCGATTTGGTAAGCGCTATTTTTGGTGTATACATCAATCGCGACGCCGAGCAGACTTGCGCGTCGATGATGCTCGTTCAATTAAACATTTCAGGCTAATTCCGGTCTATCGATGCATATGCATGCGTGTGCATACGCTTCACGGTGTATCCAATGCGCGCGGCTATATATGCTAATCGCGCGTACTCTCAGGTTTACTCGTTTGCACACCAGAAAGAGCAAAACATGCTCTCATGAAATACATATCATTCAGGATTTAATGTAATATTAATATTCATTGTCAGTAACATTGTTTTCGATTAAAATACTGTTAATTTTGTCATCCGTATATACATGTATATATCAAATTATCAAAATATACTAATTTTTCTTCAGACGCGCTAATCATACAGAATTTTTATATATATAAGCATTTATGAGGAAATGCATAGTTAATTTGTTGGATCATTACAACGCTGATGGGTTATTTAAATTCATGAATCGATATATATCGTATGAATTCACCGAATCATTATAGTATCATACTTCCTTTCGCATTATAGGAGTCTCTGTTAAAATGAATCATTTAATTCAATTAAAATCAATATTTACATTTAACGTTTTCATATTAATTAACATTATTATAATGTCACAAAATAAATTATCATCCATTTTTTTATGTTTATAAAACTTTATTTATTTGCAAGCATCGACAAGTGACAGTAAATTTCTTGTAGTCTATTATTATTCGATGATTAAACCGATAGTTTATGTGACTCTACAATTCTATCCAATCTGTATTACTTATTCTTTACATTCAAATAATATCTAATTAAAGAAACACATCGATTCATAAAACATTGATTACTTTACCTATCAAAAAATTAGCAAACATGAGAATCAATCGTATATTGATTACACTGAACGATATAATATGTAATAGTTATTTAATAATGAAATAAGGGATAATAGCGCGCGCAAAAGTTTAATTTTAACTAATAATAGATTTTTCAAATAATGCTTTGCGAACCACAGAAATTCGTCAATTATAATGGGAACAGATCGATAATTAATTACAGATTCAATCGCAGAGATTGCAAATAATGTGGTTATTTTCGGCTAGAAATATCGCTCAATATTCTTAATAATATGTCGATATAAACTTTTGTGCGGAAAATAGCTGCGTGCACAATATTAGATTTTCCCTCGATTTAATTCACATGTAATACATATTACATCGATTTTTTACATGTCTATAATAAATAATCTTTTTTTTCCAAATAATCTCTCTCTGAAATATTTCATGTGGCACGTATTTAATCCTGTATCAGCGGCGAACAAAAATTTATTAACATATAAAAATCGCGTGAATATAATAACGTACTTATTATAACTGCGAGAGTCCCTGATATTTTATATTAATACAATTCATTATTCTCGTATATTATAATTCTTAAAATTAATTTTTTACGGTTAATTACTTGTATTATTAACAATAAATTAAAATTTATACATATTTTGCGCAACAATCCATGGAATATTCGATATTATCGTGTTGCCATAATCCGCTCCTTCCCACCAATAATTTTATATTCATGGATAAAATTATTATTGAGTAATGCTATCAATTAACGATGTATTATATTATTATGTAACATTATATAGTTG